CAAGCCACACCAGCTGTTTCCCGCAGGCTACCCCCACCTTGCCGCCCGGCACGCAGGAGATGGCAGCACCCCCGGGAACCCAGCCCGCTGCCGCCGCCCCGTTACCTGCCGCAGGGTGACCCACAGCCCACCGATACCCGGATGGAGTCGCGACCACTCCTGCCGCCGTTCACCGCGCGGCACCACGGGAAAGCGCGACGCAACTTGACGCGACGCGAACCGCGCCGCCCCCCCCATTGGCCCGCGGGCGCCAAAGCCCGCCCACTGGAGCCGTATCGCGGAGGGCGCTGCCCGTCCGTCATCCGCCGCCTCTCGCGCCCATTGGGTGTAGGGCAGTGCGGCACCGCCTCTCCGTGGGACTCTCTCTTCTCACTGGATAGGGGGAAAATGGTGTCCGCCCCCTCCGCCATTTATTTCAAGGCGCCTACAGGCGCAGCCCCGAAATGGTGTCCCCGGCAGCCGCCTGGCTGTAGGTCCCTTCAGTGGAACCGAGCGAGACGGGCCTACAGCGCTTTAGTTCCCCGCGTCGGGGGTGCTTTTTTCTGCTAGTGCTGCCCAGAGGCCCGTGGCCTGGCCTCTCCTTCTCAGGAAGGCCTGGCCTGGCCTGGGTGACCTTGGTGAGGGGTGCACTCGACCCCTTAACCAAACCGGCAGTGGTTTGGTACAGGCCCCAGAGGAGGTAAAGGCCTGAGTTGTAGCCAGGCTAAGAACTTCTCTAGAAAACCCCCAAAGGAGCAGAGACCCAGTGAGCAGTGGTGCATATGAACTTGGAACAGGGACCATGCGATTAACACATGAATAGTGAGTGGTTTTTCCAAGACCCATTTCTCAAGGAACAAAGCAAGTTGTGGGTACAAGGAGTCTCCTGCCTGCTTTTACCATTGTATGTGACTTGACTGTGAGCTGACCACTTCCACCCATAAATATGACAGCCCAAGGGAGCTGCCTTTGAGCTCTCCTTGCCAAGCAGTGTGGCAGTGATCTTAAGCTGGGACACCTCTCAAGGTTCCTCCTTGAGGCAGAGAAACCTTTTGCCAATGATAGATCATTGGATGAATGCAATTTGAGTTCTCCCTGAATTGCAACTGGACTGCTCACCAGGTGATACTCCCCTTGAACAGGGATGCCTCTCAAGGTTTGAGATGCTGTACCTGATACTAAGAGATCCCTCCTTATGCAAGGCAGAGAAACCCCTTATTCACAACAGATCCTTGGTAAGTGACTGATGGCATGCTGAATTTATACTAAGGAAACCTATGTAGCTAATTCCATTAGACATAAAACATTGCCCAAGTCTAAGATTGGACCTAGGCCACACCTAAGCTCCCTCAGGAGTTTGGAAAGCAAAGGGGTCCATGCTGAACCTCCTGACTCACAGGGGCATCTCACCCTTTTCCATCTCCAATCTCCCTGTAATTCATGCTATCTCAATTCTAACTTGAGTTGCCTTTGCGTGTTTCTTCCATGTAGTAAATAATAGAGTGAACCTTGCCATTGAACTTTGTTAGGTCACATTTTTATAACATGATACTAAAATCACCATGATTGTTTGTGACAGCCTTGTGTTGCCAGGCTGGCATGTGTGTCCGCCGGCATGTGTGTCGGCCAGCCTGTGGTCACTCAGGTGTTGGTTTGCAGTCTCGGTGCCAGAAGTGGCTCGGGTTTCCAGGACAGCCCCTAGCCCTGGTTCTCAATAGCACCATTTTCTGGCTTACATGCTTTGGATCCCCTTTGGACAATCACCATTGCCCTTCTGGCCACTTCCATGTTGTTTCTCCTCAGCTGCTTAGACTGGAAATTTCTCAAAAGAGTTTTGACTAGTGCTAATGCATGCATCTGTCTAAACAGTGGCCATCCATACTATTGTGAGATGCCAAGTAGTGTGACACAGGGTAGATAACAGACACCGACTGCAGCCAGAAAGTGTTAAACAGCACTGTCAACTGCAGTGTCCTTAGCAAGCTCTCCTGAGGGGGTGCAGAGTAACAGTTCCAGGTAAATACACTGTACATACATGCAGTTTCTGTCCAGAGCTCTTGGCCTCTCAGCATCACAAGAGTGGCTTTTCTCCCTTGAAGTAGCAGGTTTTCTTTTCATCATATTTTTGTAGTTTAAGTAGATGGTTGACTGAGCGACACAACTGAAGATTTCATTCCTTTGCTGATAGCATTCTCTGAGAGGTGATAATTGTGTTTAACTGGGGAGCAACCGCTGAAGCACTTTCTCTTCCTTCATCTTTCCCTGCAATCCCAATGAGCTCTTGAAGTAACAAGTTTGCACTTTTCCTTACTGGGAAGAAGAGCCTCTTCTGCCAGCCACCCTTGGAAGTGATTCCTGTTGTCAGGTTGCTGGCCCTTACAATCAGGTGAGAGAAACCTCTAGCTCACCGTTGATGCCTTGTTGTGAATTGTGTATTTTTGGCAAAGTTTCTCTGTACTTTTCTCTCTGCCTCTGCATTTGGGTTTTATCCTGTTCTACTTAAGAAGCAATCTGATTTGGAAGGTGGTATGGCAGTGTAGTGTTGTTAATCTGCGGCAGGCTGAGGAAGCAAGCAGCCGATTCAATGTGAATGATAGAGCAAGCTTCAACTTTATTGAAAGAAATCACACCTTATATAAGCAGTCTACAATACACTACTTGCAGCTCTATTGGATACATTTAAGAAACTACATTATAATATCTCAGCCATTGGGTACATCTAAAAGGTCACATTATAATATCCCAGCCCCTTGTGGCATTTCTGGTATGCATAAACATCTTTCTTCCTGTGAACCTGCTTCTCTCCCAGGGCTGTTTTGCTCTCACCCCCAAGGTCATAATGCACCCCAACTTATCTCCTTGTTCTCACAACAGTCCTTGTTATCATCAACGTACGCTGGGTTTTTTCCTCTGTTTACCTCAGGTGGCTGTGACCGACTTCTGCAGGGAGCTATGGCCGACCAGCTCCTGCAGGGAGCTATGGCCTTGC